GTTATAAATAGACTTCCGATAGACATCGAGATGCCAGAGCTCGTCGAGCATCAGCAGTACGATGACGAGCTAAAGTCTCTTCTGGAATCATTAAACTGCTGGTTCAGTCTTAAGAGCATGGAGTTAGACCATGATTATCTTTGCTTATTTTGCGATTTAACTGGTAAAATTCTCCAACCATATATTTCTAAGACTGCGTAAGCGCATTTTTAATACCTTTCACAATGCCTCGTATCCTGGGACCAAAGTCTCAGTTAATTTGGCAAAAATACATATGGCCCATCATGCACTGTGATATGAAAGAATGGTGCTACAGGTGTCTTTATCATTAAAAATCAAAGATCACTCGACACGTTGTTAACGAGCCCGGTCAGCTAGTGATCCCTAAAGACAGGTTTCGTCATATTCATATAGATATAATTGGTACCTTTAGAAACCTGTGAAAGATTTCCGTATATTCTTACTGTTATTAATCGTTTTTTTCGATGGGTAGAGACCGTTTATAATAAGGACACCCAAGTCTCCACAGTCCTGCGTGCCTTTCAATAAATTTAGGTAGCTCGTTTTGGAGACCCGAGATTCATCACCACTGATCAGGGATCACAGTTTGCATCTACTATCTTTATCATCTATTTTTCTTTTATTGGATCACAGTGCAAAAGGACCATAGTCTATCATCCAGTTGCCAACAGTCTCACTGAACGTTGGCACCGTTCTTTTAAAGCTGCTATCAGGTGTCACAATAACCCGAACTGAGTGAAACTTCTCCCCATGGTTATTTTTGGTCTACGCACGGCAGTTTGCAGTGACATGGGAGCCTGCCCTGCTAAGTTCTTGTATGGCACTACTTTACGTCTGTCTGGTAAGTTTTTTGTTCCACCTACCTTTTTGGCTGACCCTCAGATTTTTCTTAGAGATTAGAGAGAGCACACACGAGAGCTAAAACTGGTGCCCGTGGAACATTGCCACAAGATTCGCCCATTTTTCTTCGAAGATCTTCGTTCATGTTCCAACGTTTTTCGTCGCAATCCAACGACAAAATTTCTTGAGCGCACTTATTCTGGTCCTTATTAGATAATCAAGTGAATTTCTAATCTCAACTATAAGATCGACATCAACAGCATACCCAAAGTTGTCACCACTGAGCAGCTTAAACCAGCTCACTTTGTACCTGAAGATCTTATGGTACCTACTCTGGATCTCACCGTCCTTAGCACACCATCTTCAAGGCCTGTTCCAATACTTGAAACTTAACCTGGCAATTGTAAGTGCAAAAAAAAGTATGTATTATTACACCTAGTAACAATTGTAACAGTTTCAAGACGTATCATTTTCTTTTTTTTCTTAAGGTCTCATCGCCACCTGGTTGCTACTATACATAGTTAGTATTTTAAAAAGCCTATTATTGACAGAGGACATTATTACACCTTAGTGCCTTGCGTGGGCCCAATTTATATCAAAACACTGTCTTATGTACCAATCTCTGTTCATGTACACCTAACTCTATCTATTGTTCCGTTAAGACAAATTGTATCCATCGTTAATTGTAACTAACTACAAACAAATCCAGATCATCTTGTATGAGTATACGTTTTTGTTAAATTACGTTTGAACACTTTTTTCTATACGTTTTTTTAAATAATGTCATATACTCATTATTTTAGTGACAGCTGTAATTTTTGTATTTTTGTAACTTGTACCAGTTTGTTATGGTTTAGGCATGTATGGCCATAGCATTCACATTTTCCTTTTACTTGTGCTGTCTTGGGGGGGGGGGGGGTCAGGGGCAAAGTGATGTGGAGATCCAACCCAACTGTGCAACCATCGGTAGAAAAGGAGGCACTTTAGTCCTCCTCTACTTCTCTCTCTCCCACGTCTCTGCTCCTCAAGATAGGCCACTGCGTGGGCAAAGAAGTCTCAACCTTCATTGCGAGCACACTCATTGTAGCTTCCTTTGAAACGCCTTTTATTTATGTCTACATTAGACTTTTATGGGAAATGTTTATAAGCAGTCCACTACTTCACCTTCATTCTTAACTCTTGGACACGCCAACCATGGGACTGCCTACTTAAGCCAAACCACAGGCAACACTCATTCTATAAGTGGTTATACTGTTGCTTTTTAGTGCAGTTATAATATATAGAACTAACAGAATATTAATTTTTACGGAGTGTCTTTTCAGAAAAAATTAAACATTAACAATCATATTGTTAAGAAGTAACAACTACAAAAAGTTATATACGATCGGTTTTTATTTATTACAGGCTAACTAAGGCACTGACATAAAAACATGTAATTATGAACTGTAATAAAATTAATATTTACGTAGTATTGTTACTATTAACCATTATTATATTTTTTTTTAATTCTTTGCTACTTCAGAAATATATTTTGCATTTCATGTTATGTAATTATTATATTAATTTGTGAGATTGAATACCTTTCACTGTTATGTGTTGTAGTATCATACTTAAGCGTATCTAGATTCTAATAAATATTTTTACCAAATTCAGAGAAAGGAGATCAATCCATCTCAAATGTAAACTGTGTATGAAATTTTTTGCCACAAAAATTACTGAGTATATAATTAAATAATTTTTTAAAATAAGAAAAGTATTGTATAAGTTCTGTGTCAAGCCAATAAAGAGAACTACAAAACAAAAGTCTGAGTTTCCAAATCATGTTCATTATTTTACAGAAATAGCAACTACATGACCGATTTATAACCAATTTCGATTGGTTTTCTTAAAACCTTTATGTTTTTAGTTGCTTCTTTATAAAAGTATAAAGTCATGATGTAGTATGTCACCGTGAGGCGTATTATTTTTGTAATTTCTTAAAATTGAAATAATTTCATAATTCATTAACCTCAATCGTTTTACACAAATGAAATTCTTTAACACCTCGCGTCATGCCAATTTTTAGCTTAATGGGTGATGGTACTGTCTACTACTTGCTAGGTTTTTTTACAATTTCTAATAACACCATAAGTATTTAAATAACGATTTTTACATAAGAAGGACTGCGTGATGCCTCGTTATCATCTACCTGAATCACCCAATCTAAGGTCAACGCTGGATCTTCACTCGCTCAGTGAAATTTACACTACACCAGTGGCAGGAGCACTACTGAAATGAAATTAATATCAACATATTATACTACTTTAAACCTTAGTGTGTGACTCATTTTTAAGGCACTCTCACAAACCATTGTCTACAATCTTTTGCTCTATTGCCTAACAACTAAGAGAATCAGACAAGTAGACTGACTATGGGCTTTTCTTGACTACTGCAAATTACTGCCCAATATTCCTCTAGCAGCACCAGCTCTAGCAGTACCATCGGAATCTAGCAAAAGCACTGCCTTACTGCACCTAGTCTCTAGCACATGGTGCTTGCTGTTGCTCGATCATTACAGTTAAAATAACATCCTTCAATATGACTTTCACTATTTCGAACTCTTCCTCACTGTTCCAAGCCAACTACCCAAATATACTGAGAGAAAACTATAATATAGTGTACGTAAATGTTTGGTTGTTACAATTACGCACTCTAGTAAGAGGGTTAAAGTTACGTTGGCTAACTGTGTGTAGTAGTTTCTACTACATTTTGTAGAGTAGTTAGCTTTTAGTTAAAAACTAATTAATGGTATGAATTATACACATATCATTAAATATATAAATTCGATGTTTGTTTGAACCAAAATGTAAGCAAAATATCTTTACACATTATTCCGGGAAAAACAAAAACATGCTGAAAAAATTTAGAACCTTAAAAGTACTTGTTTTTGTGCCAAACGTTGGTAACACACTGTAGATAAGCAAAAAAAAAGTCATTGAGCTCCGGTTAAAAAAAATCAATAGAGTAATTATCAAACAGTTTACAAATAATGCATTTTTTTGCTTAATTATCGATGGATCTCGTGCAATAACGTCACTTTAGATTGTATACATACACATTTATATGTTTGCGTCTTTCGCGTGAACGACATTACGTACTTTTTCGACAGCGTGTAGTTAAATCTGCTACTCACCGATGATAAACGGCCTTGAAAGTCGTGTAGTACCTGTAACAGAGTAACGATGGTTACGCTTACTGCTTTTTTTCTCTTAGTTCAGGCCGGTTTTAACAATTTTATACTTAAGAACCAAGATTCATATTGGAATGGTAATGTTCTCAAACAGTTTACTAAATTTAAACCTCAAAATAGGACCTTTCACAATTAATTTTCTGGTATCAGGCAAACGAAAATATTTTACTCGTTAAAGAAAGCTTTTTTTCGATTCTTGTAATAGAACTTTCTTTGTGTTGCAAAGGACCCCGCACAAACCTTTAGGATATCTCCCTCAATTAAAATTGACTAAATATTCTATTTATTACAAATTAAGTAATCTTTAATAAGATGCAACTATTTTTTTCCAAACAAATGGTTAATTTAAAAAAAAAAATTGTTAAGGATGACGATTTGTCATGATGTTAGTTTGACAGGTGGCATAAGCCATTTAAACCTTACGATGTATACATACACACATATATGTATATTTATTGTTTTTGACTATTGATAATCTTGATCACCGTTTGAAACCGTTCAAGAAGAGCACGTCATAAATTCTAAATAAAGCAATAGTCGACGAAAGGGTTAGGCTGAGAGAGGAGCGAGTAATCCCATAGCCATAACGATGTAATTTGAACAGTCACATAGGCATAATCAACTGTGCAATAGACGTTTATTATGTATATGCCAATCAACAATTGAATATGCTTGTTGAGACCATTTGTAATATTTTACAATTTCTCACTGTCTCATTCATTATATATTTTTTAATTTTATCTAACTTTGATATGTAATACGATTATTCTTACATGTAATGTTTTTTTTTTTCATTTAAGGCATGAATAAAATTCCTCTCTGTTTCTGCTCTTTTACTATAGTCTAAAGGTCTAATACAAGCCTAGAACCTTTTTTTTATTTAATAAGAGTCCCCGAGTACTAAGTGCCCATGTTAATGTTCTTAGTTGATTTAAAAAATATATTTTCATTATTTTCCTTCTCTGGTGAGTTTCTATGTATAACTCTCAAATAATCATTATAGTAAGTACAATACACTTTTACTTTGTATTTTTAGATGAACTTGTGCTTCCTCCTACTCTCAACCTCGTAGTTGTCTCTGATGAGAAGCCATCACTACTGATCCGACCTATTTATCAACAACACTGCAGTGTCATAGGTGGTCGTGCTCTTCCTCTTATCTGGGTGGCCGTTAGTACAATCCTACTCTAATGCTATTCACCGTTGGTCCGATCCAAGCCCTCAACTTAACAGCGGTTGGTATCCTTGAGTTGCAATCCTTTTTTTTAAATACTCAAATAAGTTCAATAAATTAATAATGTATAAGTAACTGTAATAGTAACGCCTCACTTTGTTTCCACATTTTTATTAGATAGACCAGTACCAACTCCTATTTGTTGCCTCGCAGCTGGCTTTGATGAGCAGTCGTTATCTCTAATACAACCTATTTGCTAACAACTGCAGGACCGTCAACGATCGAGCTCTGCCTCTTGTTGAAGTAAAGAACTAGAATAATACTTTTTTTAATACTTTAATACGTTGTTTTAAAGAATCATTTTTGTGACAAACATTAGGATTTGATTAGCATTGAGAACTGATTGGACTCTTGTTTTTCGAAAGAAGTTGAAAGACGAGTATTGAGACCTATTCAAATATCTGTTGCTTCACTGATCTCAGTACCTTCATAATAACTTTATGTCTGGCTCTACGTCTGGCTGGAAGTCTGGCAGAAAAACTGACTAAATGTCTAACAGTGAGTCTGGCTGAAAGTCTGGCTTAATGTCTGGCTCAAAGTCTGGCTGTATATCTGGCTGAAAGTCTGGCTGTATGTCTGCCTAAAAGTCTGGCTGCATTTCTGGCTGAAAGTCTGGCTATATGTCTGGCTGTATGTCTGGCTAGAAGTCTGGCTTAATATTTGGCAAAAAATTTGCTGAATGTATGACTGGAAGTTCAGCTTAATATCGCTAAGTCTGGCAGTAAGTATGTCTGGAATCCTGACTTGATGTTTTGCTTAATGTTTCACAAAAATTCTGGTTTAATGTTTGGCTAGAAGTCTGGCAGAAAGTCTGGCTGAATGTCTGGCAGAAAAAGTGGCTAAATGTCTTACCGTAAGTCTGGCTTTAAGTCTGGCTGAATGTCTTTTTTGAAGCCTGGCTGAAAGTGTGGCTTTGATTTTTGTCTTATGTCTGGATAAAACTTTAAAATTCAACTAAAAAGACTTCAACATATGGTAACATTTGTTTGGTAATGAACATCTACAAAATCACATAAAAGCCCATTACTTCATTGGAACCTAAAATCAATAGCGTTTTTAAAAACATCTTGGTTTATGTCTCTGAGCTAGTAACAAATACATCTAGAAAACATTTTCGTTACTGATATTACAATGTGTTGAAACAAATAAAATGTATTAAACATTTGTGACAGCAGTATTTAAATAGTTTTTGGAAATTATTTTAATAACTTTAAAAACTCATCGGATATTAAGTCTTATATCTGGTCTTAAATCTAGTAGTTAGATAATTTTTAAATTCCATAAAAATATTTATCTTAAAATGGATTTTAATGTTTCTCTTAAGGTTTGTCTTCAATTTTGTTTCATAAAAGGTCTCAAACAAGGTCTCAAAATTTTTTTTGAAACTGGTCATGTAAAAGGTTTCAAAGAAAGTCAAACACTTCATCTCAAATCTGCTTTTATATTATGTCCTAAAACGTATTTTCTAATAAATCTCAAGGTTTGCCTTAACGTACGTCTCAAATTGGTCGCATGTATTACAAGAAATGCATCAAACTTGGTAATTATGAAAAAGGTACTGAGATCAGTGAAGCAACAGATATTTGAATAGGTCTCAATACTCGTCTTTCAACTTGTTTCGAAAAACAAGAGTCCAATCAGTTCTCAATGCTAATCAAATCCTAATGTTTGTCACGAAAATTATTCTTTTGAACAACGTATTAAAGTATTAAAAGAAGTAATATTCTAGTTCTTTACTTTAACAAGAGGCAGAGCTCGATCGTTGACGGTCCTGCAGTTGTTAGTAAATAGGTTGGATTAGAGATAACGACTGCTCATCAAAGCCAGCTGCGAGGCAAGAAATAGGAGTTGGTACTGGTCTATCTAATAAAAATGTGGAAACAAAGTGAGGCGTTACTATTACAATTACTTATACATTATTAATTTATTGAACTTATTTGAGTATTTAAAAAAAAGGATTGCAACTCAAGGATACCAACCGAGGTTAAGTTGAGGGCTTGGATCGGACCAACGGTGAATAGCATCAGAGTAGGATTGTACTAACGGCCACCCAGATAAGAGGAAGAGCACGACCACCTATGACACTGCAGTGTTGTTGATAAATAGGTTGGATCAGTAGTGATGGCTTCTCATCAGAGACAGCTACGAGGTTAAANACGTTTTCGTGTTCAAAACTATTGTTTACCTTATAAATATATGTACATACACATATTTTCTTCGTGGAAAATTGACAGTTATAGTTATAAACCCTGCTTTATTCCTTAGTGCTTAACGTTGGTTTAACAGTCTTGTAAATCAGAAATAACATTAAATTAGTAACTTCTTTTTACTCAAATATTTACTTATCTTAATATAAAAGGATAACCCATTTTTAACTGGTTTTCAAAGGAAGTTTTGCTTAGTTAATATATTTCTTTGTTTGTGAGTAAACTATTGAGAATATAATGAGTAAAATTTATAAGACCATACATATTTCATTGTTTAATACTTACTATAATAATTATTTAAGAGTAATATGTAAAAACTTATCAGAGGAGGAAATAAATAAAAATATATTCTTTAAACCAATTAAGAACATTAAAATAGGCATTGAGTACTCGGCGACTCCTATTAAATAAAAAATAGGTTCTAGGCTTGTATTAAACCTTTAGACTACAGTAAAAGAGCATACACAGAGAGGAATTTTATTCGTGCCTCAAATAAAATAAAAAAAACATCACATGTAAGAATAATTGTATTACATATCAAAGTTAAATTAAAATAAAAAATAATAATAATAGAGTTTTCATGATGAATTAGACAGTGAGAAATTGTAAAATATTACAAATAGTTTTAACAAGCATATTTAATTGAAGATGAGCGCATACATAATGAACGTCTTTTCGACAGTTGATTATGCCTATCTGACCGTTTAAATCACATCGTTAAGGCTATGGGATTATTTACTTCTCTCTCAGCCTAACCCTTTCGTTGACTCTTGCTTTATTAAGAATTTTTGACGCGCTCTTTCTGAGCGGTTGCAAATGGTAACTATGAGTCAAAAACAATAAATATACATATAATTCTGTGTACATACACATCCTAAGGTTGTGATGGTACATGCTGCCTGTCAAACTAATGTTATAACAAATCGCCATCCTCAAAAATTTCTTTTTTTCAAAACTAGGCATTTGTTTGAAAGAAAAAAGTTGCATTTTATTCAGGATAATTTAATCTGTAATAGATCAAACTTTTAACCAATTTAATTAAAAGTGAATATCCTTAGGGTTTGCTTTTCTTTACATTAAGTTCTATATATTGAATAGAGGTGCAAACATCTCCAGAAAATTAAAACTTTTTTTTTGAAGGTCAGAAAAAAATAAACAGTAATTTGTATCAAATGCCTAATAATTGATATGACTTGCCTGTTTGAAGGTTGTATGTTTTCGCTAGGAATTACAAGTGCGTTTCATTTTTTGTTTTAATGTACTAAGTGCAGATAGGCAGTTCTTTTTCTGTTTGCGAATCACTTCGTGGGTATGTTATTAAGCACATTTATAAACGCACGTATTTAGTAAGAGTGAAAACAGTTTTTCAGTAATTTAAAGGTCTGTTTTGGACGTAAACACCAGAATCATTGTACATGAATGTATTTATAATACATTTGCGTTCATAAGTCAGAAAGCGATTTTCAGGGGAAATCCAACTCAGGCAACTAGTTGCAAAGCTTATACATGATACTTTTACGCAATAGTATGAGGAGATTAAGTTGTACAATTTGGATATCTGGGGATACCAAGGTCATGAACTGTATCAGATAAGTAGGAAAAGCAGTTTTTGATCATGGAGCGAACAGGAAGGTTCTCAGATTTGTCTCTTTGTATCTGAGATTTGTCACCTGTACTCGGTGTGAATAATTTTCTTATCTTGGCCACGAATTTTTAACTCATTCTCGAGTTGATTGATGTGAGCTGGTCCTAAGCCCCCAGTTGTGTAATATACTAACTGTGCAGTGACCGAAGTGTTAGCTGAGTTTTACAGAAGGAGTGTTTTTCATTTTTAATAATACGCGAAATTATATATTAGTTTCTTTCATAATTCTAGATTCCTAGAATATCCAGGCATTTTCATTAGTGCGTCTTTCCTCTGCATTTCTTACCCAGGCATGTGGTCATTAGGTTTGGATTACATTTGCTAACTAGAGTCAAGAATGATTGTGATTAAAGAGTGTTGTTGCTCATAAGCCTTTTTGAATTTATTTTCTTTTAATGTATTTCAGTGTAAATTATTCGTTAATAATGTAATGGATTTGTCTAAAAAACATATAAGTCATTGAAAAAAGGATAATAATGCGTCGAATGTCCTTTATCGTGAGAGCTTGTTTCTTAAATAAAAGATTTCATTATTTATTGGTGATGAAAAGCTTATTTGTTCAGTAAACTTCAATTTTGGTTACAAGCATCACACTTATACGTGAAACAAATGAGCATTGTGTTTATTTATTTAAACATTGTTGTTATTTATTTAAACTTATTTAAATAAAATCTGGCTGAGCTGTTCACCGTAAAATAAGGAGGGATACTTGTGCTTATTAAGGTTCCGTTGTTAGTTTGTTTTTGCAAAATTCAAATCCATACCACGCAGCTCATGTAAGTTTGTTCGAAGATACTAAATATGATCGTTGTTGTGATGCTATCTGGTAGTAAACGATTGTGTTATTGTAAACTACTTAAAATACGAGCGTACTACACCTTTAATTCCACTTAAATCGTATTACCCCACATATTAATTTTGTACAAAAGAAATAGTTTTGCAGACCAAGAGGAGGCACGAAATACGTTTGTAAAATTTAACTTTTTTTTTGCGTTACTAACCATAACTATTCCGGCTTAATTTTGTGGATTCTGAGACATTTAAATTTAAATAGTCTACGTTCTTACGCCAAATCTCTGACACTAAGTAACTACTGCAGTCTTACTACATTTCTAACGTATAATTATATTTATGTATATATTTATCAAGAGGATTCAGAGACACAATTTCTCGCGGTTGTAAACGGTTAGCTGGAGTCCTCAACCCCTTCATCTTTTCTCGTACTAAATAAGAGAGTTTAGCACATTCTAAGAAAATTCTGTACAGCGTTATATTAATTATTCTACATTCTCTCATGTACTTGTGCAAAACTATGCACAATGTGCTACATTTTTGTCAAATTCGTTTTTTTTTTGACGCAAAGGAACGTTTTCGTGTTCAAAACTATTGTTTACCTTATAAATATATGTACATACACATATTTTCTTCGTGGAAAATTGACAGTTATAGTTATAAACCCTGCTTTATTCCTTAGTGCTTAACGTTGGTTTAACAGTCTTGTAAATCAGAAATAACATTAAATTAGTAACTTCTTTTTACTCAAATATTTACTTATCTTAATATAAAAGGATAACCCATTTTTAACTGGTTTTCAAAGGAAGTTTTGCTTAGTTAATATATTTCTTTGTTTGTGAGTAAACTATTGAGAATATAATGAGTAAAATTTATAAGACCATACATATTTCATTGTTTAAGATGTTAAATAATATAAATCAATAAGATAATGTTGTAAGATTTGCTTCGAAAAAAAAATCTTATAAGATGTTTTTAATTTTTCTTACAGACATAAAGGAACCACAAGTATTTGAAACAACCCCTTTGATTAATAAAAGTAAGTCAAGTTTCAAGACAGAACAGAAAAAAGTAAAATGTTTGCATACAAAATATGAAAAATGCAATTTATTAGATCAACCTTCTTCACCTCCTCTCTCATTAACATGTCATAAATCAAGTTTAAAGACAAGGTTTTGGAAGAATGCTGATCATTTAACAAATAATACTAACAGTTATGTTACTTCAGATGTTAAATTATTAGAAACAAAAGTAAATAATATTTCTACTGTAGAGTATGACTCTTCAAGTTCTTCTTTTACACCTCCGCTGGAAAGTTTATCATGTAAATATCAAGACGAAAATCCTGCACCAGAAAATTTAAGTATTCGTAAATCATCCAGAGCTCTAACTAATTATGATGTGCAATCATGTATTCTTAATCCAGAGTACATGGAACCAAACTGTTCATCAACAAACTATGGGGTATGTTAATTACTTTAAGTTAAATATATTGTTTACTTTCTTGCGTCGATGATTTTGTGGCTATAAAGATGCATGCTTTTTAAATGATACATCAATTTTCCATCTCAAACATACAGGCAGCTTGATAATTAGATAGAAAGTTATTAGAAACTTACTTGAGAATAAATGAGCTGCTTTATGTATACTTGTAAGTGAAAACTTCTTATAATTATAATTTATTTACAATAAAAATCAATATGTCAAAAGGCATCTATATGCATGAACACTCTTTAGTTATGATAAAATGTTAAATTTTTGCTGTATAAGAAGCTTTTAAGACTCACGTAGTCAACTATAGGCTAAACATTCATAAGGATTTATGTTCATTATGAATATATTACAAAAAGTATATTTTAAGACTTTTGTGAGTTATTATTATAAATTTATAAAAAAATTTTGTTTTTGAACAGTAATAACATTACAGGCTTTTTAAACTTATTGTAAACCACCATAAAGCACGTAGGTTACCCAAAAATTCTATCCCTCTTAAAATTTAATTTCGATTAAACACAGATTATATATTTTATCACTAAGATTATCAATTAGTTATGGAAATTTTTAACTGATTTTTGATACAGTAGCTCTCACCAAGCGATTACGTCAGGAATAAAAACGTTTACTTTGACGGTTTAACGTACTTTTTTACTATCGGTTCTTACAACTCAACGTTTAACAAAGTATAATACAGAAAATCTGGTAAAATAGAGCTGAAGCATTTTGACTTCAAGTTATCTTATATTTGGTTTTGGCATTATGCACAGTCAGAACTTATTAGCAAATCGTTTGCCACGTCCTGGAGTGTCAATTTTATTGTTTTCCCCATTGCTTCAGAGCCATGCACTAATAGGTAAGTTACTTATGATATGCATATTTGCTCGGCCCTGGAGTACCAAAATCCGTTAATAGGACGTAACAGACGCTGCTATGACTGGTGACGTATACACTGTCATCGTTTTCACGGTCGCTGGTACGGTCACAGGTTACGTTAGTAGAATTAAATCTGATACTAGCCTTGGCGTGACGCACGAAAAATTTATTTTCTGCTTGTTAACCTCTTGCTCTTCGTGACGATTAAACAACGAGCTTATTCTTAGTGCTCTTAGCAACTTTTTCTCGCTGTTGGCAAGGCTTCTAGTCCCCAATAACTTAGAGTTACCCTCACACTAGGTGGAATCTACCGTTTGACCCCCACTGGTCACTATGTTTTCTCCTGCCCTTCATTGACTGGCGTTATTAATGGTGCTAATTTCTTGCTGCTCGTCGTTCAGCCTCAGCACCTGTAAGTTTTCATCAACTTCCGCCCCAAAGAGTGAGTCGTCGCTATTTTTGGATCCAGCTCTGGCAAAGTTGCACTCGTAACACAAAATGAGCTTGTTGTTCCGTTTGATCTCGAGGATTGGATAGCATGGCAACCTACCACGCAAAACTGACTCGTCCCTTTCTGAACTTCGTTCCCACTTGTCGAGTAGAGGTAATACTAGCTCCAGTGGAAATGCAAGTAACTCCCGCTAAAAAGCTCTCTGATCGTAGGTATGCACCACGTCGCACATAATCTTATCAAGTAACTCTGGCTAAACCAGCCCAACATTACGAGAATGGGTCATATTCACTTGGCTTAACCTGCAAATTCAATGATAGTCCCACGTAGCTTATAACTATGCAACAAAAGCAATAAGATCCCCTCTCAATACCGTTATTTAGTTACTTCGAAGAAAAATACAAAATTTTACAATTCCCTTCTTTGAATTGAAACTAACAAATAGAACCATGTACCAGTTACAAAAATCGACAATAAAGATTCAAACTAAATGAAAGCATGTCAACAATAAAAAAACTACACTTAATTACAAAATTGCTATTACAAATAGGCACTACTATCATAAACGTGGCGTGCACTTTCTAGCTTAAGGCAAAAAGACACGAACAAAAAGGCAACACTCAGAAAGATAAAAAAAGATGCGGGGAACAAAACAAGGGCATTAAGATTTAATATTATTTCTAAGTATGTACAGGAATATGTCATAAAATAATTTATAAATATCATAATCGTCTACTGAAATAAAAATCATTCTTGCAAGCGAAAACATAAGATGCCTCCAAAATAGCTGCTAACTCGTACATCTAAAAAATAAAAATCACAAATGCAAGAAAAATAAGACTCAACGAGAATATCTGCTGACTCGTTCCATTAAAATTTGTCGCCATTGGAGAGAACACCCAGTTCACGCACGCACTTTGTTTTCTCGACTTGACTCTGCTTTTTCCACTCTTCAGCTGCACATCTCGTTTCCTTTTCCCTCACCTTATGCTTGTAGTTAGCGTTACCCGACCCTTATACTCCTAAAAATCTCCTAGGGAGAATCAAATTACTTGATCTAAAAAAGACGCTACTCAGATGACTTGCAAAAATAATATACGAAGGCTGAACTATTGATCAAAAAGGATATCACTTTATTTACCACTCAGGCAATTACATGGGCGTCTAGGGCCAAAAATCGTCGCAGGATCCAGCAAAATTCACGCAGCACAATACGTGGTGATCACGCTATTTCTCTCTCACTCTCGATGCTTACGAACAATCATCTTTGCACATGGCTATATGATTCTGGAACCTTATGCAGGCGTGCATTCGTTTATTTAAAAGTTTTAATAAGCGTAAGAGCTCTTTGTACATGTAGCTATTCACTGAGGCTGATGGCGTGGTATGAAAAATGAAAAATAGAATGAGAATTAATCGCTCATATTTATATTAATGAAACTTGGCAAAGTGTTAAGCTAATTCTATTTAAATGTTAGTTATTTAGTTATTTTGTTCTTTGTTTCTTACACTGTGGCGTTGTTATATACTGCACTTGGCCTATGACAATAGGTGCAAAAAGTACAACAGGCTCGATATTTAAGCTAATTGCGCATATTTGTCTTCATATTTATGGTTTTATATCACACTCGTCCATGCATTATTTATGTCCTTCTTTTTCTCTTTTTCTCTTCTACTCTTCTTCTCGATTTCTCTCACATAAGACAAATGGCATGTAGACCTGGTCCTTTATTAGATTATCAAACATAGTGAGATTTCCCCTTCGAGACCATTTTGGTGCTCACTGTAGTGGGAAGAAGAAAAATGACGTCATCCTAAGGGTTTGCAACATCTAAAGGTCGCGAATTATCTGCCTTTGCTAAAGAAATCGTACTCTTAATGCCATTACCCTCGATGTATGTTTCGATTTTAAAAATATGTGAGAGCTGTATAGAACTTTTTTCGTATACGTATTGAGTAAATTAACCACAAGAATGTTAATAGTACAAGAAATTTATTTATTACATTTTTAGTATGTTAACTCACTGTGCTGATCATGCTGAAAAAGTATGCATGCTTGTAAGCAGCCAGCTTCTGGTTAGACTAGCGTTTGCGCGCAGTTTTAATGTCTGAAACTTGAACACAGCACACCAAGTCTGAGAACATCAAATCCAAATACCTAATCTCCAATAAACTAATACGCTAAACGTGTTTTCATGCTTTTCAGTATAAAAAACTATTTGTCACTAATCAAAAATTAATAATCTCCATAAACTGGATAATGTTATTGGAACTTAAAAAACAATCTTCCTGTAAACACTTGAATCTCAAGCACTTTATTGCAAGTACGAAGCGGCAGTAAATTCTCTACAGTTTTAATTGTGTACTACATAAATAAAATTGAAAGCTACTTATCCCGAATAACGCAATAGTCTTGCTTCTTCATACTTTACCTTATTATTTAAATAAACAAACTTTCGGACCACTTATTCTCGATAATCTAATGCACCCACTTATCTCTACTTTTGTTTATGACCTGAATAAACAAAACCCTAAGCATGTGATTCTTAGTTACCCAATGTTATCTTATACCTTGATGTATTAACAATTTATTCACTAACAGAGACTCACCAGCTGATTTCTGTGGTTCTAGCAAACTTTTATGCAGACACTTGAAAGTTTTCCTCCATAACTAAAAGAATTTTGAAAATTCTAAGAAGTACAACTTTTGCAAAATTAAAATAAAAATGTGTTCAATAAAAGCATATATAAGTAAGGGTTCAGCTTTAGTACATACTACAAACATAATATGTAAGTTTTTAGAGCATAGGATCATGTTGCGTGTTAGCTTAATCAGATACTGACTTTGCTTGGGAGTCCAAGATTAAAAGTTTAAGACTCAATGATATGATTATTATTATTATTTTTTTTTTTATTCCATAATAAAAAAGGAGGACACGTGTTTGCTTATGAATAAGTAACTAGAAAAAAGTATGCATTTATAAAAACCTCACTTCCGTAACCCAATATGCATGGTCCACAGTTTTTTACTTATACTTGTTAGTTCAAGTTTAGAGCAATTCATTGCTAACTATCCAATATGCTATACTGCCAGTTCTTTTATCAATTTTATAAATAAACAAAATTTAAAGCAGCTCATATCTCATAATCCTATGGGCTTGCTCACCCACACATTTTTTTATCACGTGAATAAACAACACGTCAAGAATTTAATAAATAGTAATCCAAAGCACACGCTTGCATGCACTTTTGATTATTAACAAATTAATGAACACTTCAAAAGCACTTCTTAATATCAAGTCATCTAAACCACCAGCTTGGCCACAATTTCATTGATAATCAGTTATTCTACAGCTAAAAATCGTATTTTAATGTCTAATTATTCAAAGCACTTGCTAACTTGCACTTTTATTTGTCTAATAAATATTTTTAACGTTAAGGGACTCATCCCAAGTCATTTGTAGAGCTCTTATGGCCATGTTTTAGTTCATTTATTAGGTATTAAAATGCTTAAGAGCTTACTCTCCAGTAACTCAAAACGCTCAAATATGTCCGCTTTTGTTTATTTAATAAGTATAATAAATTTTGAGACCCTTATAACAAGTTACCTAAAGTTCTTGCTTAGTTGGTTTTTATTTATCTC